GAAGGAGCGGCAGTGATCCCCATGTCAACACCCAACATGTTCTAAGAGCAGGCTGCAGCTTGCATCCTTTGGCTGGATACACTGTGATGTCCCCAAAGATGGCCAAAGTGCCCCCCTAGAAGGCTGTATTGACATGCCCCTGCCAAGGAGACTGGGGGTGACTGCTTTTTGTCCTGCAGGAACTCAGTGCGCCTGATCATCCGCAAGATCCAGTTTGCACCCCTGAAGATGGGGCCAGCCCCAAAGTCGGAGACCACCCGGCAGTTCATGATGTCTGACAAGCCCCTGCACCTCGAAGCTTCCCTGGATAAGGAGGTCAGTACAGAGCCTATCCCCTGGCTCGTGCCACCATGTGCATCCCCAAGGATGGTGACCAGGGTGCCTGATCACATAACCAAGCTTCTTCCTACTGCAGATCTATTACCATGGAGACCCCATCAATGTGACCGTCAACATCAACAACACCACCAACAAGATTGTGAAAAAAATTAAGATCTCAGGTGAGAGGGGCAGGAGGGGCACAGCACCCACCACATCCTGGCCTCCCTGTCAGAGATGGGGACCTCTGCCACATCACCAAAATTGCTCCCACTTGTCTTTCCTCAGTTGAGCAGATCACAGACGTGGTCCTCTATTCTCTGGATAAGTACACGAAGACTGTGTGCACTGAGGAGATAAAGTAAGTAAAAAGGGGCTGGGGATGGTGCAGTATCACAGCCAGAGGAAGGAAGAGAAAGGAGGAGGAGGAGGGGAGAGTGATGGTTTTACATCAGGCAGCAGAAATATCAGGGTTAGCAGTGCAGATGCAGAGGAAGCAGAGGAGAGGGAAGGCTGTGGACACTGTGCCCCCAGCATAAGCTGGGCTGGGCAGGTCCCTGGGGGACAGTGCACAGCTGTCCCCTGGCTACTTCCTCTCCTCACTTTGCATGCCTGAGGCCAGCCACAGCCTCTGCACCTCTGAGGGCGAGGAGGGCCAGGGCAGAGGTGGGGGACAGGAAAAAGTGGTTGTACATGGGAATGAAAGGAGGAAACAGGCCCAGGCAGCTGCGTGGGGAGGACAGGGTGGGATGTCTGGCTCTGCCTGCATGCCTGGCACGATGAGTATCCCCAGTGAGTGCTGAGCACCCACCAGGCTGGTGCAGGCTCTGAGCTCTCCTTTCCAACCCCTTCCAGTGAGAACGTGGCAGCTAACTCCACCTTCTCCAAAACATACTCCGTCACCCCCTTGCTCTCGGCCAACCGTGAGAAGAGAGGCCTGGCTCTCGATGGCAAGCTCAAGCATGAGGACACCAACCTGGCCTCCACTACCATGTAAGAGCCAGGTGGGCTCCCTCTGCTCCCCACCACAGCTGGACCTGTGCCTTGCCTTGAGTCTGGCAGCTTCCCGCTTCTCAGGATGCTCTGGGCTCCCACCAAGGATCCCCCACACCTCCTGTGACTGAACCCAGCCCACCCAGCTGGAAAATGTAGGGATTTCGTGACATGACCACAGACCCACCTTTCCATCTTGTAGAAGAGGCGTAGCCTCCAGGTCCCAACCATTGTCCCTCTACACAGTTGCATCAGGTCTTGTTTCAGGAGTAAATCCTAGCTCACACATCTCAAGTGACCTCCAGAAACTGCTCTGTGGCTTCAGCCAAATGACCTGCCCTCACCTCTCTTTTCCTACTACATTGTGTTGTCCTCTTGTGCTATACCCCAGTGCACCCACATGAAACGGGGCACAGAGACAGCCCTGGGAGCTGCTGGGGAGGGGAGCAGACAGGGTACGCGGGCAGCACTGCCCACCTCACCACCCCACTCTGCCTTTTTCCTAGCCTGAGACCTGGCATGGACAAGGAGGTGCTGGGCATCCTGGTGTCCTACAAAGTGAAGGTCAACCTGGTGGTGTCCCGAGGAGGGTGAGACTCTGCGGGTGCGAGGTCAGGGAGTATCCTCTTGGGCTGTGCTGTGGAATCTTCTACCACTGGGCAGATGGCAAAGGGACTCACGCCATTGGCCCCTCCCCTCCTCCCTGGGCCATGGAGCAGCTGGGCACTGCGCTGTCCTCTGACTCCCACTCCTCCAGCCCCATCATCTCTGCCCTTCACCCCTATTATACATCATCTTCTACGTTATTATAAAGCAAAGTCTAATACTCCCCTCCTCTGCCTTGGCTGATTTCTGTTCCTTCTCTCCTGCTGCCACAGCATCCTGGGGGATCTCACTTCCAGGTAAGGGGAGAGCTGCCCGTGGGTCTGAGCACGATGTGACACCGGACAGGTTTATTGAAACAAGCGTTTTCCCTTCCAGTGATGTTGGTGTCGAGATGCCTGTCATCCTGATGCACCCAAAGCCTGCGGATGGTAAGTAGTGCCTGGATGCTGCTGACACTCAGGGGAGGAAAAGGCAGTCCCCATTCGGAGGCGGATTTGTAAAAGCAGTGCATCTGTGCAATGGGACTGTGTGACTGTGGCTGTGTGACAGGCAGAGCTCCTCTGGCTGTGTGGCAGCCTCTCTCCAGGACCAGTGTGGGAGCAGCTGCCACCCATCCCAACAGCTCTTTCCAGAAACACACCTGAGCATTAAGAAGAGATGTCAGTTGAAATGTCCTTTCTGTACTAACTAACATCTGTCTCTCTTCCAATCCTTGCCTCCCTGTGCTGGAGTACAGATAAGCCAAGGTAAAGAAACACTTATACCTCAGGCCAGTGTTTCCTCTAACACATAAACCACAGAGACCCATCACAAATAGATGTGACGCCTCATTCCAGTTTGAGGTTACATCCTTGGATTAAATCATCCAGGCCCCAAAGCCCTGAGCCCCCATGCAACAGCAGACAGGATGACACCCCCCACAGCAGCAGGAGCATCGTCACAGTCTAAGAGGACTCAAATGCTGGGCTTGGCACATGCTCTGCAAATGTTCAGGCAGGGCTTATTTTGCAACTCTCCTTGCTCCAAACACGCAGCATCCTCTGCAGCAAGCCCTGGCCTTGCCTTGTCCTTCGGAAGCAGCTGGCAGTGCTGTGTCTCCCAGTCACAAGTGCCACCAGTGGACACTATGTCCCCTATGGCCTTGGTCCCCATCCTCCCCATGCTGAGGTCCCTGGGCTGCTGGAAGCCGGACTCGTTATGGCCTCATGCACTCCTCACTGCCAGAGTCCTCCTCCCACTACACGAGCTTATTCCAGCTGAAGCCACAGCTGGGATTGCTTCCCTCTGGGAAGCTACAGCATGCCAAACCCATTCCTGGCAGCCATGCCTGGCAGCCACAGCCACCAACCAGCCCCATAGCCGGCCCTGGCCTGCAAAGCCCCCAAAGGCTGCTTTAGTGTCTGGTTACACCCTGCAATGGGACATGAGCACTGGGATTTGGGGCCTGGAAACTCAGACTGCAACTGCAAGGCTTTCACACCAAAGCCGATCGGTTTCCCAGCTCAGCGAGGATATTTAAACTTCCAGAGGAGGAAGTCTCTTGGCCTGTCCCCACCATCACTCCCTGTAAACTTTTGTCAAGTGGTTTCACATTCTCAAGCTTTTGGAATCAGTTTTGCTGACTGTTTTTTTTTTCTGTTTTCTTTGCCCACTTCTCATTATGCGGCTCTCCCTTGATGTCATCTGCTGCTTGCCTTTCGCAAGAAGGTAACTAATCTCTTTGTCTCCACTTCAATTTCTTTTCCTTCTCTTTTTTCCCTTGACAATACATAATATTGTCCTTAAAAACTGGTGAAAGTCACAGGCAGGAGCCCAGCTCCTCCAGTCGCACATGCTCACAGTCAAGCCAGTGATCTGCCCTGGGTTTGTGTACTCAGGTCAGGCTGTGGGGTGCAGTGACCCTGCTCTCCCCCGAAGTGTGTGGGGTGACAAGGCAAGGTGAGCACTGCATTATCCCCTAGTAGGAGCAGAGTTAGGATGCGGGTGTTTGGGTGTCGGCAGGGTTTTCATAGAATTCCAGGTTGGAAGGGACCTCAAGGATCATCTGGTCCAACTTTCTAAGCAAAACATGACCTAGTCTAGATATCCCAACACTGTCCAGGCAAATCTTACCAGTGTCCAGTGCTGGGGAATCTACCACTTCCAGGGGTGATTATTCCAATGGCTGGTTGCTCTCGCTGGGAATATTTTTCCCCTTGTGTCCATCTCAATCTCCCCAGGATTAACTTGTGCCCATTACTCCTTGTCTTTTCCACGTGACACCTTGTAAAAAGGGAGCCTCAGTCTTCTAAGATTTTGCCCTCTTCACTGTGGTGTGTCCAGGCAGCCAGCCAGTGGGCTCCCCATGGCCACCCTTCCATGCTCACCACACTCTGCTCTCCCTTCCAGTGAGGAGGACATCGTCATCGAGGAATTCGCTCGCCACAAACTCAAGGGGGAGAAAGACGATGAAGATGAGAAGGAGGAGGCTGACAAAGAGGAAAGCTAAGCTGCTGCCTGCTCGCACATACAGCCACCTGTCTCACCCGCCCTGGTTTGGGGCATAGATGCCCATAGCATTTTCCCCGCTGTACCACACGCGGTGCACATCCCGCCATGTGTTCCCCTAGCTGCACCTCCTTCCCCGACACCAAGCCCTGGCTGGGGCGGTAGGAGCCGCTGCATCTCCTCCCGGAACCCTGGAAAAGCCCGACTGCGTGCAGGACGATGCCCGCACCTCCTTCACCCATAGGCGCCAGCGAAGGGACGAGGAGGGTGGGCCGGAGCCCACCGTCATCAGCGTGTTTGTCGTTTGCCTGCGTGCTGCAATACTCTGTGACACAGTTATCAATAAACCCGCCCCAGTGGCCCGGTGCAGGCTCCGTGTGGTGGTACCGGGGCCTCGGACGAGCCTGAAGCGAGCGGGCGGTTCCTCGAAGCGGAGGAAGGAGGGCAGGGGGGCAGCTGCAGGACGCGGCCCTAGGCCGGGCCCCACACGCAGGCCTCAGGGGCGACCGCTCCCGTCGCCGTGGCAACCGCCCGCCCCGGGAAGGCGGTGCGCGGTGACGTCCCGGTGACGCCGGTGAACGTGACGCGCGGGGCGGCGGTGGTGCCGGTGTGTGCTCGGCGGTGTCTCCTTCTCCTCAGTCACGGCTCCGGCTCGGCCCCCCCGCGCCGCCATGTCCGCGCCCAGCAGCGGCGGCGAGTTCGGGAACCCGCTGAGGAAGTTCAAGCTCGTCTTCCTGGGCGAGCAGAGCGGTGAGCGGCGCGGGGGCGCGGCGGGCGGCTGCGGCCTGGCGCCGGGGTGGGGGGGGTGAGGAGCCGTCACGGGCCTTCCGCTGCGGGGGGCGGCGAGCGCCCGTTAAAGGCTCGGAGCGTGTGTTGGGGGCAGAAAGCCCTAAAGGCGCTCCGGGAAGGGGGGGGGGTGAGGATCCGTCGAGGGCCGCTGGGTGGGGACCCGTGAGGGTCTGGCAGCGGCAGAACCGTCAAGCGCATTTCTCTGCTGAGGAGGGAGGCGGCAGCGAGCCGCCCGGGGCCCACGCGGGAGGCGGCGGCCAGAGGGCGCCCGCCCCAGGGAGAGGCGGCCTCGCCGTGCTCCGGCCTTGCGCCTCCGCTGGGGGAAGGCGAAGGCCTGGGGAGCGCCCGGGGCTCCCGTCTTTACCGCGCTGGCTCCCCTCGGGCCTGGCTTCCCGCTGGCCGGGACTGGGCCTTCTACCGGGGCCGGCCCGCAGTGCGCCCGCAGTGGGGTTTGGCGGGGCGGGGAGGAGTCGTGGGGGGGGGCTCTCGGGCTGCTTCTGTTCCGCCCCGGGTGTTGTATCTCTGGCCGTGTCCACGCCGGCTGCATGGCAAATACCGGAGGGAGAGTACATGGCAAAACGGTGGTTGTGCAGTGTGGCTGCTGCCTAGAGCTTCGTTTGTTTTGTTTTGTTTCGTTTTACCTGAAGTTGACTCTTTTGTACCCCTGCCGTCATAATATATGGGTGAGTTGTATCATTTTCTTGAAATGGTGGTATTTGCTGCATTGTTCTCTTTAGATCTTTAATTGCTTCCCCCCTTCTCGGTCCCAGAACTGTAGGTCTTGGAGGAATTTCCAGAAGTTGTCTTAATTCCCCTGCCTTACCAAGGTGGGATCAGGGGTATGCGGATAGACGTTTGACTGACCCGTTTTTAACCTTCCCTAGTGGTTACAATTTCACAACCTTTCTGGGTGATTTACCCTCTTCTTTTATCCATGGCCTTTGAATTTTTCTTGGCTTCCTCCAGCTTCCTGAGAGAGAATCTGAGCTCTTATCTTTAGTTCCTGTTTCTTGTCCGTTCTGCACTTTGTCTTTTGATAATACTTGGCAACGCAAATGTAAAGTTTTTAATCAAGCCACCAAAATTTACCTTCTATCTAAAATCTCATTGTGAGGAAAGGATGTAAGTTTTGAATGTTGCTTTTCCATCCAGCCAGAGGCAGCTAAACAATGTCCAGGACATCAGTGTGTATTGGTTTGATGTTTATGCCTGTAAGTCCTAGACCTGGTGATTACATAAGTAGCAAAATATGAGTAACAAAGCAGATTATTGCTTGCTTAAAGCAAACCAATAGCTCTTTGTCAGATGCATCACAACATATCTAATTTGAGGATCAAGTGATTGTCATGATTTATTTTTGACCTACTGAGATTGATTTGGTTTAACATAGTTCTGTCATTTTGTGAATGACTTTCTTAGGTGGTTATTTCGCAGGAGGGGGTGGCTGGGAAATGGCCTTAGATTGGCAGCTTCGTTCTGATTCATTCCTCCCAAAGCAGTGGTGGTTTGGGTTTTTTTTCCCACTGCTGCTTGAAAGTAATTTTTCTCTTCTTTTGTAGTTGGGAAGACCTCTCTGATCACCAGGTTTATGTATGACAGTTTTGACAATACTTACCAGGTATGTGGTAGCGTTTTGAGCGTGGCTTTTTGGTTTTGATTTGTTTGAGTTTTGTTTTGGTATTGATATATATGTATATGTGTGTGTGTATAAATCTATCCCCCTCTATTAGTATTTGTGCCTGTGAGACCTGTTAGGGCCAAGCACATTTCCCCATGAGCTGTCACTTCAGTATCATTTGTAAGGGTGGAATGTGCCTTGAAATGCAGATGAGACTTCACAATTAAGGCCAAGCATCTAATATGATGCCAGGAAGTGCAGTGTGCAGAAAAGAAGCAAGGTTTAGATCCTGTATGTGTGTGAGAAGCCTTGAGGAAAAGGGGGATAAACATTGGTTTATGGGGTGGTGAACAGGGAAGACAAGGGTCAGGATGCCTTACAATGCATATGGGAGTCTCAGGAAACAGAATGAATAAGGTACAAATATGCTTATGATTGTTCTTGGTCTCTGGCATCTTTAGAAGCTTTCCATTTAAATAGGAATGGTTGAATCCAAAGTGTGTAGATAGATCTGCAAGAAGCGAGCATGGCATATTCTTTTTTTTTCTTTATTATTACTACTTTTTTTTAACTAAAAGGCTGTAGAGGGAGCTGACGAAGTCTCAACAGGGAAGGAGTATGGTAGAGATGAAGAGGTGCAGATGGAAATCTGAAAATGTGTAAGAGGCCTGACGATTTCAGGAAGAATTAGTTATGTCAAAAGCACTTCTCAGTATTTCAAGGAAATACCAAATATCTTTAAAGAAGATAAGACTAGGGTGTTATCTTGTAGTTAGGGTCAGAAAGAGTTACTGGTTTAGATTTGGGTTATTTTAAGTTGAAAAAGGAAGAGAAGATTGTTTTCTTGGTGGCAAGTCATTCACTGGAACTGTCTTTGGAAAGGTGCCCTTGTAGATTTATCTGCTTATTATAGTTGTTACAAACTGTGTCCTGGCTGCTGCTAGCTACAGAAATTGAATGTTGTGGTCTCTTCTAAGGTTAAATGGTTCGCGTTCTGATGGAGATCTTCCAGAACATGTTAAATGCTCCCTGTGTTTGTTAGGACCGGAGCAAGTCTGTCTAAAATACAAAAATCTGTTACATCAGTAACCTGACTCCTGGTTCCCGGGGTTATGATAGGACATCTGCTTGATTTAAGTGCCTGGGAGCGCAGCTAGCTTGGTAAATTACTTTAAATGTCTTTGTACCAGAATTGCTGTGCAGCAATAGAAACGTGACTGGAAGGAGCTGTGAAATGAAGCGTCTGAATGTCACTGGAAAGGAAGCACATTCTGAAATGGAAAGCCTGAATAAACATTGCTTTTAAGCTTTCAGCACAGTTGCCCACAATTTACATCTGTAATTTGCTTTACCTCTTAGATATTCCTAGTGAGATAATTCTTACCAGGCTGAATTGTGGTAGACCAGAAGAGTAGGTGATCCCAGTTCAAATGCGATCTGTGTTAAGATGCATGAATGTCTGAGGCTAAAATCAAGACTCGGAGGTTCTTTGCAGTTGAGAAGTGCTGGAAGAATGATATGAAATGACAGTGGTGCAGGTATTCAGGTTGCTTTGTTGTTATCAGCTGCATTGAAGGCAGATGACTTCAGCAGCTTAATTCTAAGTTGGTGAACATTCCTGAGAGTTTTTGAAGACAGCTCTGATTTGCAGATGCTGGAAGGAAGCTTGCAGTTCCTAATGCTTTTCTTCTTTCCAGGCAACCATTGGAATTGATTTCCTGTCAAAAACGATGTATCTGGAAGACCGCACGGTAAGTGAGGCATCTCTGTGATAACATGGCAACTGCAGTCCTGGGAGCAGTGGTTACTGTGCACGCTGTTCCACTGGCCGTTCCTCCAACAGCTGCTAAAATCCCACAGCAGCCTTCAGAGGGACAGCCTTTGTCACTGACCAGCTTTCCTTGTTTCCAATATTTGTTCATATCCGATACCTCTAGAATGAAGTAAAAATCTTTCATGCAAAACTGGGGCAAGCTAATGTCCAAATCCCGAGGAGTGGGCTGTCTGTTATATGTACTTTAAGCATAGTTTGCCTCTAGAATTTGCAGCTCTGCCTCTGGGATTGTCTGTATAAATGGGTCTGAGCAGAGCTGAGGCAGTTACAGGTCTGAAGTCTTTCATGATTACCAGCAGTGGTGTAGTTTCTTCTTGTAGGAAGGCTCCTTTTGTAATACAGTTCTAATGTACTGTTAATAAAACAGTTTTGGATTTAGCTTGCATGAGATTCCTCTTTGCATAAAGAGGTCCCTCGCATCCCTTTCCTGTCTTTCAGTATTTGTCTTTTCATTAATTTATGTTTTGCTGGTACTTGCCTTTTTTGCTAGTTTTACTACTGGCTAAGAAGTGTGATGCTGGTGCGGGAAGGAAGGGACCAGTGGTGCAGTAGAAGTCGTTTGTGTTGCTTTGGGTCTGTTGCTTCTGAGGAAGTCTCAGCCCAGTGTGTGTGGTGAGTTTCCCAAGTGCTTCTCTGCCATCTTGCCAGTGATTCACTGTTAGGAAAGACCTTGGCTTAATCTTTGGGAGAAACTGCTTGGATAACATTCTTCAATGGTACTGGCAGTAGCAGAAGAAAAAGATCCTGGAAATGCTGCTTGACACCTGTGAAAGCAACTTGGAATGCCTGTATTTGGTTTCCAGCAGTGTAGTCTTGATTTCTTGTGGCTGTGTAGGTCAGGATGTCATTCACCTGCTGGCCTGCTATCCCAAAAATACCATATTCATTGGGCATACTGCTAGTTTCTTGATTATGTAAGTGGTCCACAGCTCATAAAGCCTGTATAAACAAAGGAGAGGTGTTGAATGAAGATAAAAGGAGGGACAAATACAAGCACACAAGCTGGGAAGATTCAGACATTGAAATAATTTCTCAGCTATGGCTAATGCTGTGTTCTGCAATAGGCTTGCACTGCTCGGCTGGAAATGAAGAACGCTGAGCCTCTAACTGCAGTGTGTGCTTTGCCATACTTGATATGTCCTTACACCAAAGAATATATCCTGAAGATATACCTGTGCTAGATCATTCAGCTCTAACAATGGCCTGTGTAGCATGTACTAGCCAGAAGAAGGGGAAATACACTGGAATTTGGTTCTTCAAAACTGCCTCCAGCAGCCTCCCGCAGAGGGCAGCTCTAAGCGTGCTGTTTCCAGCACATTGCCAGTGCAGTGGAACCTGTGGCATTAAGTCAACTGAGGCCACGAGACACCTTGTCCTCAGTCCTGGCTGTCAGGCTGCCGGTCCCATGTTACAGCTGCAACCTCATTCTTAAAAGACCTGGTATTTCCTTTTCTGTGACTCAGTATCTTCCCAGGCTTGTCGAATTTCAGCACAAGATAAGCCAGTCTAGAAGGTGTTTGCTCTTCTGGCTTATACCCCACTACTGTATACCACCACGTCAGGCTCTCCAGTGAGTTAATCGGTATCTGGGTGATGTCCTTATGGTCGGAAGTGACCACATCTAGCTAGCTGTAGGCTGCAGTCTGCTTGTGTGGCCAGTATAGCCAGAGCTCTGGCATGGCAGGATGCACTGAGGTATGTATGCTTATTTCCCCCGTTAACAGATGGTGTTAGAAGGTACTTTCTTAGGGATGTCTTGGGTTTATGATTAAGTGGAAGAATGTGTTTGCATGTGTGAGTTATAAATGGATCTGTGGAGGGAGGGAGATTTCTCAGACGTGCTGGGCTGAGGCTGCTGTGAGAATGTGGATAGGAGTGTCGTTGGCTCTTTTCACATTTCTGTTCCATTTTGACTTTTCTTTTGTTGCATTAGTTTTGCCTTGCTTTTTTTTTTAATTTTAATTTTTATTTCACTTGAGGTTTGGTTTTTGTTTTCCATTTTCCTGCTCTTCCCCCTTTCCTCTTCCCCTACGCTTTTCCATTTCCCAGATCAGGCTGCAGCTGTGGGATACAGCCGGGCAGGAGAGGTTCCGCAGCCTCATTCCCAGCTACATCCGTGACTCTGCTGTGGCTGTCATTGTCTTTGACATTACAAGTAGGTATTGAGCTGGAGTGACTGCAGGGACCTTGCTTTTTACATGTACCTTTTATGTTTGGAAGTGGTGGTGTTATCTGAAAAGAGCTAAGATAGGCCATTGGCCCTAGGACTGTAAGTGTTTCATGGGCTGAGGGAACGTAGCTGAGCATCTTCCCCCACAACCAATGGTAACTCCGTCCCATAATCCAGAAACTGGGGAACTGGAGGTAGGTGAGTAGAGACTGTAATTTCTCATATGTCTGTGCTGATGGTAATGTCAGGTGATTGATAGCCTTTGAAAAGCTTTCTTGTTTTTCTGGTCTGTGTGGGGGACTTGGGGGTTTTGTTTTGGCTTGGGGGTTTGGTTTGGGGGTTTGGTTTGGGGTTTGTGTATTTATTATTGTTGTTTGTTTTAAAAAAGCCCTCAGAATGAGAATTTTCCTTTCTGGGTAACTAGAGGGGTAATACAAGTAACAACTTCAGATGCCAAAGCAAAGGAACACTGTCAGAGTAGGTAAAATAGTACAACAATCATTTAAAGAAAAGCTAAGTAGCAGCTTAGGACGATTCAAGATTCCCATTTCATTCAAGAAAAGAGCTGGTGATTCATGTGAGTTCTTGTTCTCTCACAACAGAGCTCTTGAAAGACGTAACTACCATAATTTCTAAGGAATAAATGAGCTTAGAAGGGAAATACTGTGTAAATCTTGGCATGAATGTTTTAATATAAGATATGAAGATATGAATACAGTTATTTCATTATAACTTCTTGTTATTGACTCCACTTTATCTGGCTTTTTCCTTTAAGCTACAGTATCAGCAGAATTATTTAGACAGGATTTACACCTTTGAACCAACAGCATGTGGATAAAGTCTAAGTAAAGAACATAGTGCAGATGAAATCCTCTGGCCCACCTTTATTCTGTCACAAATTCTAGGTTATCATTAGGCTTTATGGACCAGGGATTTGTTTCCCTTTGATTAACTAAAGTGCTTAACAAGTAATAAGACTTCTGTTAGGATTTATCTTGCATACTGTGGGCAGATAATTACATTGTCTTTCTCTCAGTCCTGTAGCTTAAGTAGTTAACTCTGGCAGGATTCCTGGTTTCATGCAAACTAATCTAAAAACTAAAGTGATCTGTTTGGGGAGTGCTGAGATGTGCATGTGATGGCTGATGCTGGGAACTCACCAAGGGGAGGCACTGTGGCAGGCTTCAGAGCTTGGCATCTTTTCTCCCCACTGTTGTGACAGGTATTGTTTATCCACACACATGGAAGAATCCTGCCAGTCTTAAACAGCTTCCAGATGTCAAAAACAATCAAGTGCTATCTAATCTCATACTTTGGTAATGGTCTGATCTTTTCAGATAATTTCATTTTTTTTCTTATTACTGCTCTTTGTTCTGTTCTTAGTGACTGAGAGGCTTTTGGTTTTCTTGTGTTACTGAAGGAACATGCTCATGTACTTCTGATTGCATGATGATGCTAAGCACTATAGTGCAATTAGGAAAACACAGTTTCCTTTACCACTCTGAAAGAGCTATATGTTTGCATTGTCTTTAGTGCTAACTGTGTTTGGGAACCTCGAACAGCCTCCTGTAAGTCATTGCTGGTCATAGAAGCGTAAAATAGGGACAGTCCCATGGGACATACTTAAGTACCAGCCAAGGTACTCTTAACTAATGGAGAAAAACTGTTACCTAGCGTGTGGGGAGCTGAGAACTAAAAAAGAAACAGCATTTCAAGTTGCCCAACAGCTTAACAGTAAATACGCAGCTAGCCTGTGGAGAGATCCATGAGGAAAGCCCATACTGCATCTCAGGCCCCTTTCTGAACAAAGCTGCCTAGTTTCTAAGATGGGCTGGGTTAATTCTCATTGGTTGAGGACTTACCTTTCCAGGCTGGTGGGGTCATTGGCACACTGTCGTGTTTGAGTGGGTTTCCTTCCCCTCCAAAATGGGTGCATGTAAACTTTGACTTCTAGAAATGAGAAGCAGTTTTCTCAGGTCACCTCAGGGGTGCCTGCATGGTACCTGCATAGCTGAAGGCCTCAGATAGTGTTACCCTTCACTACAAGAAGATTACCAGAGCTGGCTCTGCGGTACTTCTTCTGGTTGCCTTTTTGAAGGCAACTGAAGGTTGGAGTATTTAAGTCGCCACCTTGGTAAACTTTCTGGCTGCATAGTCTAGTGTAGCAGCAATGTCTTGGGGGGACTGTGTGGAAGCTTGTTGTAAAGTCCAGAAACAAGAGCCAGAAGCTGTCATTATCAGTCTGATCTTCCAGCACAAGTGTAGTATTGTCCAGTATCGGAGTTTGTCACCCTGAGTTGCTTGGGGTAGGAAAGAGCCTTGACTTTTGCTACTGTAATCGAGGCTACCTTCAAAATGAAGCATGAGCTAATTGCTTTAACTATAAGCCCTAATCTTCCTTAAGCCCCAGGGCATTGGATCTACATACCCTGATGTACATAGGATGTTGTTTTGAATTTGCTGGTAGCAAGATACTTTGCAGATGTTACTCTGTCCAGCTTCTGTTTTTCTTCTGAACAAAGCAATTACCAGTCTGAGACTGTGTTCCCCTGTGTAGCCAGTCTCCTGCAAGCTGCCTTATTAACTGCTGTTCTGTGCTGCTCAGCTGCTCTCCCTCACTGCTGAACAAGTGGCTTTGTGAGCACATCTGACCAATTTGTGTCATTGAGCTGGGAACTAGTGTCTGCCCTTCCATGAAACTCCTGCCTGTTGAGAATGCCAACAGCAATCTTGTTTTCTGGCAGTGTACCACTGTTTGTAGAGCTAGTTGCCTGGGGTGATGACTTGGAAGGAAATGGTATCACTCCTAGTTGTGAAAAGCTTTTGTTTAGCGTTCACTGTGGTAGTTGGGCATGTTTTGACCATTGCTCTTTCAAATAGGCAGGTACCAGATCTTAGAGCTATTGTATGTGGTAGATCAGTTTGTGTTCAGGCACAGCTCTTGAGAACAAGCTGTACCTCTCACAGCATTTGTGCTTGTTTCTGACTCTTGTGCTTATCTGAAAAGGGAGAACCTGATGCCCTCTGTCACATGAAGCCTATGGTGTATAGCATTTTATCTGCTGGAACTTAAGTTACTGATTGCCCTAATCTTGCATAAAAATCCCATTGCCATCTTCTGAATTCTTGATACTGTAGAATGGGGCTGGTTTACCACATGGTGTATGGGCTGAGGGAATTGCATGTCTGTCGTGGGAGTTGCCTCAAAAAGTCTTGATGCTCTAGCCTAGGAGTCCTGTGGAGACCCCATGCTTAACCTTGGGTGAACCAGGAAGACCAGCTCTGTATGACTTACTAGCTACTTCTGTCAGTAATGAGGTAGTAGACTTAACCTCTTTGGGAATAGCAGAACATCTGGACAAAGGAGGTCATTAAAGCAAATTATCTACACACGGAGTCAGAAAAGCCAACTTCTGTGATGTGTGGATATTTGGGGCAAGACTACAAGGTCAGCCTTCGGCTTCTCGCATGGAGCTGCATACAGTTAATTCCAGAAATGGCCTTTTCTCTAAAGGACAGTTTCCTCCTTTCTCTTCTCTCTTGCTGTCTCTCTCTTTCTTTGTGCTCTCTCTGGCCTGGTACCAGCAGGTTCGGCTGCAGCTTTGGGACACGGCAGGCCAGGAGCGTTTCCGCAGTCTCATTCCCAGCTACATCCGCGACTCTACTATTGCTGTGGTAGTCTATGACATTACAAGTGAGTGATGCTTTGGTGTCTCATTATTTGAAATACTACATGTTAGCAGAATGAATAAGTTACAACCAGAAGTTCTGCAAAAAGGATGATTAACATTAGGAATGTTCCCCCCTTTCTCCCCAGCCCTGTTTTTCTGTCTTGAGCAGAAAACAATTTATGGGTGATTTCTGTGTGGTGTGGGGAGATTCGGAGAAGCACCCGAGTACAGGCATAGCATTCTCCCTCTCTGAAAAGAAGTTTTATCCTCAGCACTCCTTTTATTTCTTCCCTACAGACTTGAATTCTTTCCAGCAAACCTCCAAGTGGATTGATGACGTTCGGACAGAGAGAGGGAGCGATGTCATCATCATGTTGGTGGGGAACAAAACTGACCTGGCAGACAAGAGGTAATGGAGGCTGGCAGCCTTGCTGCCCTGACCAGTAAAAGCAACGAAGTGCCCAACTAGTCTTGTCTTCAAAACAGTCATGGATTTAAGTGAAGCATAAAAAGCTTGTCATGAAATTCCCATTTCTGGCTTCAGCATATGCAAAGTTACTTCCTTTTGCTGTTCTACAAATAGTTCTGGTTAAAACAAACCAACCTGAAAAAAAAAATCCTTGAAGTATCTTTATACCATGTTTCCCAATAGTGTATTTTGTCTGATTTTTTTATGTCCATGCTGAGATAAAGACAGAAAGGTGTCTTGCAAAAGCTAGTAAATGTGCCTTTTTTCAATGATCCTATTTACATGACTCTGTATGTGCAGCTGTAAGTTCACAGTACAGCCTCTTCTTGCTACAAGAGGCAGTATGAACTTTACAGTGTCAGTATAAAAGGTTTCCCTTTACGTATAAATTTCATGTCATCCCTAACAGAAACTGTTGTTGTGGATGTGTGAGGAAACTAAATTAGCAAAAGCAGATTTCCCCAAGAGACATAAAAAGTTAATTGGTCTCTTAAAATCACATGGACTGAATGTTTTGGGACACATTGGACATAGTAAAGCATTTGGCTTTTAAAGTTCAGTCCTACAACACCACTTCAAGCAATGTAATCAATGTAATGGCTTCTTAGAAGTCTGTGTTTCTATTTCAAATTCTTCTCTTGATGATCTCGTAAAAATTTTAATGGTTTTGGAGATTTTCATTCTTTCTGAAGACATCAGAGTGTAGATAAGGAAAGGTTTTTATTTGAATGATTAGTGTCAGTAGTAATTGGCAATGGGAAGATGGAGTAAGCTGTGCAGTTTCTTACAGTCACAGTACTTTAAACTGAAACATCTTTGTGTACACTGGGCACTCTGAAATGTGTGCTTCATGTATCATAGGACATGGGAAGTATTGAAATGATGGGGAAACTTTATCTGATGCAAAAGAAAGCATCTCAAGAAGGTAGGACTGGGGAAGATCTGGATCTCACAGTGAAGTGAGGTCTTACAAATCAGACCATTATCCTTTGGCTTTTCATGAGACATTTCTGATCAAAAGCTAGCAGCTTGAAAAGGCTTACAGGTGGAACATTAATGTTTTCTCACACCAACCTTGCACTATTATTTGAACTGCCTGTTTGTTTCCTCTGTTTCTTGGGATGGTGTGCCTGATAGGCACATCAGAATGACTTCAATTTGTTGATGCTGCCATGTTTTAAATTCTAACCCTTGTTTTGTTCACTCCTGCAGTGTACATATATTGCTTTAGAATGTATTGTGATGTGTTTTTTTTTGCCTTGTGGTTTTGGTGTTGTCCAAATGCTCATGGGAGACAATACCCAGCATCCCTGGCTGCACAAACTGGGGTCAGGAGATGTGTTTTGCCCTTTGTCCCTGCCCAAGTCATGATGTTAGTTTTCAGTTTGCAATGCCTAGCAGGAAAAGTATAGCCAATTCTAATACCAGCAAGGGGTTTGAGTCAGTGGGGAAAAGGATAAACTTAGGCTCTGACTGGCCATTGTGTATGGGCTTTGTACCAGTGGTTCTTACAGAAATGTGTTCTGTGTCCTCCATGCAGACCACCTTAGTCTTGACAATTATTTGGCTTTTCCCCACTTCCAGTGGGAGGCCGTTCTCAGTGCCTTTCACTTTAGAAGTAGTGGTAAAACCTGGTGCTCAGAGCTTCAGAACTATGGTAAAAATGTGTACAGCTGATTTGGATTGAATTCCAGGTGGCAAGACCTCACCTCAGTCTAATCTCTGAAACCAGCTTGCAGAAGAGCAAAATCCAGCATGTTCTACTTGAGCCAGTTCTGGATGTTAACCAGTTAGTATCTCTTATGCCCTCCTGGGAGCATGAAATAACTGCAGCTCCCTAACTGAATAAGCTGGCATTTAGATTTGAGGTTTTCTAATTTCTATACAAATCCAGTTTCGTGTGTAACTGGAAAACCAAACGGGATCATTTCAGCCTTGGAGTATTTCCTGGTAGTCCATAAATGAAGTAGTGTGGTCCAGCACTGCCATAAGGATTAAAAATAACAGAATGTTGAATCGTAGCTGCAGTTGGAATTCATGTAGCACTAGAAATTCTGATTTTAAAAGTTTCATGTAAGTAACAGTAGTCCTGGTCTAGGCTAGAATTTGGAATTACAGTCTGTATGCAGGTACCAATGAAAGAAGCTGCCTCGGTCTTCTTTTAAAAGGGTGTTAGATTTCTGTGAGGCTGGAATACTGGGGCTTTTAAGGCTGGACAAAGCCACAGTGTCAGCCTGAGCCTAGTCACATTTTTTGAAACAGAATAGTGTGTTGGAAGCCATTCATCCTATGGTAAAGTGATGATGTGAGTTAAGTTCGGAGCCCAAAAAGCTGAGCTAAAAATAGCACTGTTCTTATTTGGTACAGCCTGTTAAATTTTACTTCCCTGTTAATGTTGCTCCAGTTGGTGGCTGGTTTTTTTTTTCCTGCAGTTTTCTTTTTATCATTTTTGGACTATTTTTCTTTGTTCTGGTTTTTCTTTTCTGTGATTTGTTCTCATTACTGTAGACAGGTTTCTATAGAGGAGGGTGAGAGAAAAGCCCAAGAACTGAATATGATGTATATTGAAACCAGTGCTAAAGCAGGATATAATGTGAAACAGGTATGTACAGGGTGTTGATTGGAGATGCAATTGCAGGTGCTTGCTCACAACCAGCAGCCTGGCACTTGCTGCTGCCCTGTACTCGCTGCTAGAGCCTTTCTGAAACCTTTCTGTAATCTCACAGAGCTCCTTTCTATTTGGAAACTGCTTTTTGTGTCTGGTGCAGTGTGTGGGGCTTCTTCCTTCCCTTGAGAATACTGTGAATGAGGCTCAAATGTACTGCACAAACTTCATCCTGTGCTAGTCATCTGTCATTAATAGTCATAAGTCCAGGTATTTCCTGGGTAAATGACCTGAGGTTGATTAATTTGTAGCTGCAGGATCTGGGCTCTTAAAGACACGGAGGTCCTGAGGCCTCCCTTGGTGCACTGTGAACTCCTGTAAGAGTGGAAAAGTGGTGAAGCAGGCCACTGCTGAAGAGCAGCTCAGTCACAGATATCTCTAACTCTTCCTGTCTGTTCTTTCTGTCTTTCTGCTTGTTTGCATCTTTTTCCAGGCAAATCACCACAGAAGAAGGTGAACAGAGAGCCAAAGAGCTGAATGTGATGTTTATTGAGACCAGTGCAAAGACTGGATACAATGTGAAACAGGTAGATCAATGTTCTATTCTAAAGTCAGGAAATCTGTACTTCACTGCTCTCTACGCATATGCTTCTGCTTGGGGTTCATGCTCCACTGGATATTTGCTTGTATTGTTCAGTGTCAGCTGAACAATATGAATGAACAGTGAACTGAAATGTGTCTTGCTCCTTGCCATTAATCCGGATTTCTTGTGTTTCAGTTTGCATCCATAGCTTCTTGCTACAAGCTTGTGATCTTATAGTTCCTGAACTAGAAACTAGTTCAGCAGTCGTTCTGAAGTGTGACAGAACACTGGGAGTAAGGCAGCTGTAAGGTGCAGGGGTCTGCAGGGGTCATGAGTACTGTTGGTGTACAGGGAAACATACCAGTTTGTTGTACATCAACTGGTTAAGAGCACCTCGCAATGGTATTAGGAAGCTTTGGGTTTGTTTCTTATGGCTGTTCTGGATTGAAGACCAAGGAACCACTTTAGTCTTTGGTTCTAAATTAGCTGCTTTATTTGCCTGGCAGGTGTTTGCAGTGAGCAAAAGGATGCTGACTGCAGCACCTCGGTGGTACCTCAGCAGCTGGATTTTCCAAATAACACAATTTGGAGGCGTAGATGAGGAATCCCTGCCTAGCTACTGTGAGAAAATAATCATTAGCAGATGATTCCTCTTGTGCTATGTGCAGCACTTCTCACCTAGCTGCCTGGTAGTGTGTGTAGTGTGTTAGCTGCTGCATTCGTGTCAGCAGGAGGAGCTCTAAGCATTGACTTGGGCAATTATGCAAAACCTTTTTCTGTGTTTCTTTTTTGTGGGGTTTTTGTTTTTTTATGGGGGGGTTGTGATAGCCCTTCCCAGCCCTTAGCGCATCCTTCATAGCTCAAACCAGTTCACTTGAGCCAACTGTCCTCCTCAGAAATGGCTGGTTCACAGCAGGAGTGAACTGTGAAAAGATGGGCTGTAAAACCTCAGGTATTCCATAGACTTCCTAAAACTTTGGTCTCTTTTGAGATAGGCCATCAGAAGTCCTGAGCTGGCTTTGTGACATTGCTGTGTGCAAAAGAAGCTGAGGCTGGAAATGGCAAATGATATTCTTGCTTAGAGCAGGAGGGAATTGTTCTGCACATCCCTGCAAGAACTGCTACTAATTAATTTCATGTTCTGTCCAAGCAGAAACGGGTAAAATAAAACTGTTTTGTAGGAATTGAATAACTGCTTTAATAAAGCCGCTACTGAGTAAATTTCTTAGGTAAAATTCTTGTGGCATTTGTCAATCATTGCTTTGCTTGCTAAAGTGCCCACTTAACAAGTTTGTACAACTCTGGCTCCAAGACGTGCTGCAGAGCAGTGTGTTTTAACATGAATTTTTATTTCTGACAAGCCTTCAACTTTCCTGTTGCCACTTTTCAGCTTTTCCGTCGTGTGGCTGCTGCCTTACCTGGGATGGACAGCACACCAGAGAAGAGCAAAGAAGACAGTATCCTTGCTTCTCAGCAGTAACTTACCCTGTTCTTGTAGAATTTTACAATTATCATTTGATAGGTTGGGCTAACTGACTTTTTGGCACATTGTGGGGGTGAGCCTTACTGGAGTTTTGCAGAGATGGGGCTAGAACTGCCACTGTAGCGCGGTGCTTACCTGTGGTCATAACTTGAGTATCCTGATTGTCTGTGTATAAACATACACAGCTATTTATAATGGCAAGCACAAGTTTTGTTTTCTCCACTTAAGCTTAGGATAGAAATTTGCATGGATTTAAAACACCATACTTTTTTTACACAGGGCTGTCTTGTGTGCAGACCTGCCTGACTCAGCTCTAACCTCTGAGTAGTTTTGGTATACAGTCTTTGGGTTTTGCAGTTAATCCTGTAGGCAGGATATGCTCTGCTAACCCCCTGCCCCTATTAAGAAGGGCCACCTAACAGGCTTTTCAGATACTGATACTTTTCTGTGTTCTTTATTTCTTGTTTTTCCTTGAACTGGGGGTTTTCCTTCACTTGTCTCCTGCAGTGATTGATATCAAACTAGAGAAACCTCCTGAGCAGCCAGTAACGGAGAGCGGGTGCTCCTGCTAACAGGCCCGTTCTGTAGCAGCACATTCCCCAACCGGCCAGTCTCACTGAAGAACATCACTGCTCATTGGCAACCCTACTCTGTGGGCTGAAAAACCAATCTACTAAAGCGAGCGAACTCCCTGTTTACTGGTGGGGAGCAGCCCCGGCCGCCCCTCTTACTGCATGGTATGAGCCCTGAGTGCAGAATGAGTGTCCTGTCTTTCCTTTTCTTTTCTTTTATGTTGTTGCACTTTGGCACTGTGGTGCCCTTTACAGTCTCTCTTCCTCTCCTCCTCCCTCTCTTTTCCACCTCGAGCCTCTCTGCTCAGATATATCTTGTGAATGCAATTGGAAAACCCACCAAGTTAGGGAAGACAAAAATAAAGCTTGGGGGTAGGCTTTCCACCTTCCTCACTGCCTTGCATCCTTGGCCACTCCAGCCCTGCCTTTATCCTGCATCCCCACTTCCTCTGTTGAAAGGCTGCTCCTTTTAAACCGGTCAGTTTGACTTGGCCTTGCCTTTTTTGGACAATACAGGTTATCTGTTTCTAGGCTTTTGCTTCCTGCAGGGCACACACAGTATTAGCTCCTCAGTTTCTCCTTTCTGTGGATGATCTTGGCTAACTCTTGCTCATGACTTCTGAGTTTTGCCCCTCATGTCACACACAGCACTGAGAACCCCAAACTCTGATAGCTTTGGCCTTGTTGCTTCCATTTGTATAGCAGAGACATCCCACAGACCACTCTGCTCCGTTGGATTATCTTCCCATCCAGAGGATGTTGGCGCTTGGTGAATGTTGGCTGTCAGATGCGGGGAAGGAAGAGGGTATAGAGGCTTCACAGCATGAGGCTGGGTGGAGAAGAAACCCTCAGGGTGGTTTGTAGAGACCTGGGTCCTGTCTGTCTACAGCAAAAGTGAGCAGTTAACCTGAAATCCATCACTACAGGAGCAATACGTACTGTAGGAGCCATGGATGCTGCTCAGGCTCCTTTTCTGGTTTCTGTTCTCCTGTTACTTGTAACATAGGACGGCAGATTCTTCACGTGGAGCCAGGAGAGCTGCAGCAGACCGAAGGCTGGTGAGGGCTGTTGTACTCTCATGCCTGGGTTGGTGCTTGATGAAGTCATACACATAGCTGCTTCACCCTTTGTAGCAGGCTTCTGGGAATAGGGCTAGTAGCCATTTCACTTTTGGGGTAGTTCTAAGCTGCAACATTCCTGCCACTGCTCATCTCAGCTTTGGCAATCTGCTGTCAGACCCAGGTAGAGGAGTGAAAGATTGTATGCTGCTGAAGTGAATTTTGGTCTCACTTTTTGACCTTGGAGGTTGGGAAATACATCCTCTAACCCCTGCCCCTGGTTCCTAATTCTGTTAATAGAGCCCTGGGTTTGTTTTTTTTAACCATCTATCCTAACCACAAGCCAGTAGGTCTGTTGAAAGAGAGGAGAATAAAACAGTTGGATGGTGGAAAGCCATCCACTGTTCTTTTCATCACCCAGCCTATGTCATGTTGACAGGGAGGATGCTAGTGGGCAGGAGAGCAACAGACCATGGTGTGACGGGTGGGGACAACAGTATTTGGTGGTGGTGACAGTCCCCCAGCAGATGTCCCTCAGTCACTGACACAGCGTGCGCACTTTGAAGCCTGCAGGCCCTCAAGGGAGGGGAAGGGGCAGCCTTAGCTGGGACCTGGCTTAGTGTCCCCTCACTGCTGGTGACGGACCTGTTGTTCCCCTGTCCCTTCCACTCTGGGTGAGCTGGCCTGCAAGAGGAAGCTGGGTTGTGGTTTCCCCTTCACTCTGGAGTGTCCCTTCCTTTCCCCTGGTCCGGGAAGCTCAATCCCCTCCTCTGTACATACCCCTGTTGTGTGGGAATTGCTGATGTTTGTTGGTGTGTCCGTGTCTGCTGTAGAACAGGTTTTGCTGTCCCCTTCTCACAGGCAGGTGTGCGCTGCCCTGCTGTTGTGTTGTTCAGTCACGGACCTGGGGGGAGGGAGGGAGGAGACCCTAAGTAATGGGGGGGGGGGGGGGTAATTAGTGAAATGAAATAGGTCACTTCCCACTGTCTTCTCTATGGATGTGTATAATATTGAGTGTGTGTCTGGCCCTGCTGTCTCCTAGCTGTTAGCTGAGTAAGTGTGACTATTACTATGAGTATGGACTGTCTGACCACAGCCGTGTATCACACTAAATAAAGTTATTTCACCAACACTTTTGCTGTCCTGCTGCTGAAGAGGAGCCTTGTGATGCCTCTGCATACTTCACTTGTAGGTTTGACAATGCTGTCTGGTGTGGTGTAGGGTGGATGAAGGGTGAGCTTACAGAGTTTGAGTGTGGCTTTGGGAGTACAGTGGGAGGAGAAGGGCTTTTGCTCCAGAAGGTCAAGCTACCTACAGTATCTTGCCAATCTGCCTCCCTGGCCAGGGACTTAATTCACTGACATAGATCTGCTCCAGTCCTCATGACTTTTGGCCTGTTTTGCAAGTTGCTAAAAATTATCCAATGTTCCTGGACCTGTTGTTTTACCATCAGGAATCAGTAACTGCTGTTTGTCCTTCTGGTTCCGGAGGATAAAATTGACTGTGGTGGCCAGTGCAAACCCCATTAATGCTTTGTCAGTTAACTTACACTCATGCCTCAGGTATGTTGGACAAAGAATCTGCTCTTTCCTGTTTGCCTACAGCCAGTCACGGGGTCAGCAAGACGGCTGTGAAAGCACCCAACTAATTACCTCTGAGTAATAGAAGGGAGGAAGCGGCCCTGGGCATCTCCCTGGAGCTCCTGTGAGGGACTGCTCAGAAGCAGGATGAACAAACTGAACGTTGAGGTTGTATTTGCAGTCTCCTGTGGAGAGTTCAAGGTGCCTCTTGGCTCCTCAGCCGTTGGATTGTGTGCTGAAAGCTTGAGTTGTGCATTCAATCACTGTTTTCCAGCAGGCAGAGACCAGAGCTGGCTTCGGGGCTGGGAACTGACCACCTCCCTGGCATGTCTGGGCACAACAGGGGGAGAAGGGAAGGTGGACCAGTAGGAGGCTGCCTTGCTGCAACCTGAGCATCCTTCCCAAAGGAACATATAAATGCTGGAAACTGGTGTGAGACTGCAGATGTGAACATTCCATGGGACACAGAGGCCTGGCCCCAGAGAAGAGCTCCTACATCTTACAGTGGGGCTTCCAGAATGCTTTCCCTGCTAGAAAAGCTGAGTTTGCTGTTCGGAGTTTCTTTTCTAGTGTATTTTATTCTGCTTCAGCCTGGCTCAGCTTTCTACCCAGCAACTGAGCTAAGAGCAAGCTTGCTGGCAGTGCTGAACTTGGGTCAGGGCTACTACCCTTCACCATCCCAAGCAAGTTGTTTGTGGCACCACAGACACAACCCTCCACTGCAGCTCTTGCTCCAGGTAGTGCTGAAGCAGTGCTCCAGGTTAAAAATCAAGGACTGGCTTTCAGCTGTGTGGGTGGAAGAACAGCCTTAAACCAGAGCTGCATGCTGTATGGGTCCCATGCTTTCCTCCCACAGGCTGCAAGAGCAACTGGAGCCAAGCCTTGTCTCGGCTGTCCACCCAGCACTTCCTCAGAGTAGTGCTGAATGTGTTAACAAACAACCCCCTCCACACAGACAGCCTGAGTGGGAACAGAATGAACTCTGGTTGCTGTACTTTTTATTATTTCAGTTATTACAGATAAGCAGAAAACACCACACAGATAGCCACGGCACAAGGGCTGTCCTGATACCACTTAGTATGTGGTACTACTGTGCGGAGTAGCACACGACAGGACTATGCCAAGTGAAGAAAGCTGGTTCCGTGTGTGAAACCCTCAACCGTGCCGATGCTGCCCTGGGAGGAACCCAGTCAAGCACCTACAGCAGTTCACAAACATGCTGAGAGCATCTCGGTCCTGTAGTGTGGGGGGTGGCTAAGCAGCACAGAGGTACAAACCTGCCTTGGCAGACTAGTGCAGTGAGATATGTGAACTGAGTTTGAGTGGATTTTACTCCTGTTCTTGAGTCCAAAGTAAACCCAGCAGGGAGTAGCAGAGGTAGGACAATAGAGAAGGAAAGAACTTCATGGTACCAGAAAAGTGAACAGGTTGATCTCTTGGAGGACGAAGGCTGTGCTGTGCTCCAGCATGCTCATACCCTCTTGCCTTGTATCTAGTAACGAGGGTTGGATCCAGAACCAGCAGTGCCCTCACATTTAATTCAAGTTGTGCTAGGAGAGAAGCACAGATCTTGCCAGAGAAGCTGCCCTCTGGTACCCACGTGCACATCAGCTTCAACAGCTTGTTTCAACATCCAGTTCAAGGAGTACAGACTAAAGCCCTGTCCATCTTCCAACTAAATAAGATTCCATTGGTATCCCTCCATGCAGGAAACAGCCGATGCCTGTGCAGCCAACAGAACAGTTGTACCTCCAGTGACAGCTGAAACACGGTATGTCATCTTAGATGTTGAGGAAAAGGAGAGTTCTTAGCAGGATGGCCCCTCTGGAAACCCAGCAGACAGTTGCCTGCTAGTGAACAGTTCTCTCCTTCTGTCTCTGGTAATCTGGAAGGGAAAGGCAAGGCTGAAAGAGCAGGAGAGCTGGCTGCTGATGGCAAGATGGAATTAGCAAAAATGTTACAGGAGAAAATACATTCCATTTATACCTCACTAAGTAGAGACAGTGTTTGCTACCCTCTTGGGTAGCAGCTGGCTTTAAAGTAGTATTTGCACCCCAGCCACTCATTTCATGTTATTTTAGGGCATTGAAAGTTTGAAGTCTCTTCCTCTGCTCTCTGTTTTTCTTCTTTCTTCACTTGAGAGTCAGTTTCCATTTTATAAAGAATCCTTGTTTGGCTTGACCTGACCTTCCTCCCCCTCCATTGTATCTATGAACTCGGGGGTTACAGAAACCAAGCACTAATACAGTCTTATCCTTCACTCAGAATCTGAATGTTCTTAGGGAGGGCACTTACTGTAGGGGAAGTAACGCACACGCATGGTGATCTCACGGGCTGTCTTCAGGATCTCCACAGCCTGAAACCAGAAAGAGTTGCTCAGTGACCAGACTGGGCTGGAGGAAAGAGGAATGCATCAGTTTCGTGGTGTCACCAGCTCAGCTGGTGCAGGCTGAGGGACCGGAAGGAGATGATGGGTGCACAATTCCTCCCCATCCTGTCCCTGCTTCAGCAGTGGAGCTGCAAGAGTGCTCACCTTGCTGTGCTCAATGTCCTGGAAATCCACATCGTTTACTGAGAGCACCTGGTCACCTTCCTGCAGCCCAGCCCTGTGTGCATCTGAGTCGGGGATCACCTGTGAAGGGAACAGCAGGGACAACAGCAGTGACCCATGGCACAGCCCGGCTCCAGAGCCTCCCCATGGTGCCCATCTATAGGACAGGGGAGGATGGGGAGCAGTGGGTACTGCAGTGCAGCACCAATGCTCTGTGTGCTGGTGAGAGATCAGGCAATGCTGCAGGAATGGCTGCTTGGTGCGTGGCAAATTACAGCTGTGAGTTCAGACACTCATATGACAGTTTCCCTGCACACCCAGCTGGCTCAGCAACACCCAAGGGAACAGACAGGATAGACGTAAGGAAATGGTAAAGGACAGACACACCTTAGAGATGAAGATCCCCAGCTGCGAGGCTTTTCCTCCTCGGATGTTGAAGCCCAGCTGCGAGAGAAAACAGCAGTGAAATACAACCCGGGCTTTGACCCAGGATCCTTTCCGCTGCCAGTGTTTCAGATTCAGCGTTCCTCCCCGCTCCCTGTCCTCCATCAGCTCCACATCCCCACACGTGAACACCTCTTGCCTCACTCACGTTCGCTCCGTTCACTCCCGGTTGGGAGCAGCACCAGCGCCGGCATCACCCCGCTGCCAGAACGTTGCCCGTCGGGGATTATCGCAACCCCGCAACTCGGCTTCAAGCAATTTTTGCCAGGAAGGGCACTGGGAACCGTGAACCGAGCAAGGGGGGAAACGACCGGGAGGGACCCGCGCCCCCCGCAGGCAGGGGGAGAAGGGTCAGTGTTAGGCGGGGCCTCACCTGCGCCCCGGGCGGCTTCTTCAAGACGATGGTGCGGGGCAGGAACTGGGTGAGCTCGTTGTTGTAGTCGGGGTGGTACACCCTCTGCAAGGCAACGCCCGTCAGCTCTGCCGCGCACCCCGGGCCGGGCCGCGGACCCCCGCCGCTTGCCCGCCCCGGGTTGCCGCCGCTCCACCACCACCACCATCCCGCCCCATCCCCGCACCTCATGCGGCGGCACCCAGGCGGGCGGGCTCTCGTAGGGCGGCAGGAACACCACTGGGAAGTCGTCGTAGGGCAGCCGGCCCTCCATGCTGCCGCGCCGCCTCACGGGACTGGACGGGACGGGGCAGAGCCCGGCCCGCTCCTCCCCTCCCCGCCCCGCCGTGCGCCCTGACGCAGGGCGCCGCCATTGGCGGTTCGCTGAACGCGGGTCCCGTTTGAATGTTGGCGGTTGCGGCGCCGCCTCCGCAGCTCGCAGCGGAGGAGCCTGGTGGGTCTCGGGCCGGGCCGGTGGCGGTTGCGAGGGCAGTTGCTCCCCCAGCTTCCCCCTTCCCCTCAGGCACGGCCGCTGCCTGTCGGGGCTGGGCGCTGGTAGAGCCGGTAGCGGGGTGTAGGCCTTGCAGCTGCGGCCCAGGCCCCTGCACGGTACCTGCTGGCAGAGATGGGTGCTGCTCCCGTGAGGCCTTAACCCGGCTCCACTCCTCCGCAGGGCGGCCTCGGTGCCTGAAAATGATGAAGGAAGATGCGAAGGTGATCCCGGTGCGAGTGGCGTTGCGCTGCCGGCCCTTAGTGCCGAAGGAGATCAGCGAAGGGTGCCAGATGTGCCTGTCCTTCGTGCCGGGGGAGCAGCAGGTAAGGGAGCCCGCGTTCCGCACCGGGGCTGGCGGTGCCTCCCTCCTTCGGGGTGCTGCTGGGGCCTCGTAGAGAGCGTGGTCTGTATGTCTGTCTGCTCCGCAGGTGGTCGTCGGTAATGATAAGTCGTTCACATATGACTACGTGTTTGACCCTTCTGTCGAGCAAGAGGAGGTCTTCAACACAGCTGTGTCCTCTCTCATACGAGGCATCTTCAAAGGTGCGTGTTAACTGAGCTTATACATCATAGAATTGTGGAATACCAGCTTGGAAGGGACCTCAAGGATCATCTGGTCCAACCTTTAAACTCTGATTTAAATTACTGGGAGTTTTGGTGGGCTCAGCTGTGGAAGGAAGTGCTGTTTAATTCTTCCTTCTGACTCACTTTTTCTTTTGTTTTTCTCAGAAAATTAAATCCCGCACTAGCCAGATTGTGACTTCAACCTCTTGTGCTAGATCTTGCCTCTTTGCAGCCTGTTACACTCCACAAAATGATCTCTGTGTTTTCTTTAGGTCATTTTATTTCCTGATGCTGTTTCTGTAAGGCAAGAGTATTTTATCAAGAATAATAGGATGAGTTGCTAAGCATCTCATACCAGGAGCTGTTAGTGATGGTACTGCAGAGCTGGGATGACAGAACTTACACTGTGTTTCTGTGACTAGCTCTAATATAGCTCTAATAAAGCTTTAACAAACAGTTGGAATAACAATTTTGTCTGTGTTTATGTTGCTGTGATCTGTGCATAAAGCTTCTGTTAAATAGATGTCAAGGATCAGTGCTTTTCCCAGAATGCAGTTTTGTTCATTAAAGCTTCTTCTGGTTCCCATGTGATTATCTGATCTGGGCACCCTTTGTTCCCCAGGGTACAATGCCACTGTGTTAGCCTATGGACAGACAGGATCTGGGAAAACGTACTCTATGGGAGGTACCTACACTGCCAGTCAAGAGGATGAGCCCAGTGTGGGAGTCATCCCGCGGGTAATCAAGCTGCTGTTTAAGGAGAAGGAACAAAGGCAGGATTGGGAATTCGTCCTCAAAGTTTCTTATCTAGAGGTAAAAGTTGTTTTGATTTTCAAGCTATTATGAACTGCAAATAAAGTGAGCTTTAATGAGGCCACCTCCTTCAAATTGTAGGTATTTGTTAAATTAAGCCCAAAGACCACATAATGTCTTGTCAGGAAGTTGATTACGAGTCCTCGGTGTCTTTCAGTAGCGGTAAAACGAACAGAATGCAGTACAGAGGTAGCCATGATTTCAGCATAACTGTGTGTCTGTCTCCATGCAAGGCTGATAACTGAACTGCTGCTCTGACGTTTTCAGATCTACAATGAGGATATTCTAGACCTTCTGTGTCCATCAAGAGAACGGCCTTCTCCAATCAGCATACGGGAAGACCCAAAAGAAGGCATAAAGGTCTGTTGCCCTGTTAGATGGGTCACATACAGCGTGATATGGCATGGGATGAATGTTTTGGTGAACTGTCTGACTCCTTAAGCACTGCTTTGTGTTAGTGTGCGTGAAATCATCACAACTACTCATTTCTTTCAAAATCCGAGCTGTTGTTGATTCTTAAGTTTACTTGGGTAACACCAATAGGGGAAAACATTCATCACGAAGACAAGTTCTGTTCTGACTTCTTTTGAAGGCTATTTTAGGTGAATATCTGAGAACGTGCTTTGAGTCCTTCACCAAATTCCAAACCCTTGCAATTGCACTCTTCCTTTTGGCAGAAGTAGTGTACAACAAAAGGATCCTGAGAGGAAATTATTTTAGTGCCCAGGTTACTTGTTTTGTGCATACGTGCAGATAAGCCTTATGCTACTGGTTGTTCCGTGTACTCATTTTGTAGCTGAGCTTCTGCTGTGCTTTATTCACACCAATTCAGTCTGCAGTGGTGGGTAGGTTGTCAGTTGTCATGCACACAGCTTAGGTGTCATGTCACTTTGATCCATTAATGTCTTTGTTACATGTAGTCCTGTGCTGTTTGTTGTCATCTCTAAAATACTATGGTGCAACTCGTCCATGTGTTAGTAGCAGCATTGTGATTCAGGGAGACAGGCCCTTTAGGGAAAATGCAAGCTTGCCAAGGAGCATGATCAGTGCCCGCTATGCAGTCCTTTCTGTCCCTAAAAACCTGCCTCCCCTCTGCTCTATTCACACAAGTCGCCGCCCCCACCAGCCAGTTTTCCACTTTCTGTGCCCGTGATGGGCACAGCTGTCAGCTCTCAGCTTGGCCAGGCATATGTGAAGGCAACTCTAGATTTCTCCACAGAATACTGAGGAGCCCAGCTAGCTCTCAAGCAGGCACGGAGGAACTTGGCGTGTGTATGAAGGAGAGATGATAGGATTAACATTACTGATAGGAAATTCAGAGCAAATTTTTGCTGGGGGAAATCCATACCAAGCTTCTGGCTTGAAATAAGGCTGATTATTGTGAATGCATATTTACAAAGGGAATTAACTTTGCTACAGTCTAAGACAGGATAAATTTTCTGATGGAAGTCAGGATAAAGAGGATAAATAATGCTTTCTTTCTGGATACAGATTGTAGGGTTAACAGAAAGAAATGTCACTTGTGCCCAAGAGATGGTATTCTGCCTAGAGCAAGGGAATAATTCCAGGACAGTGGCTTCCACAGCAATGAATTCCCAGTCCTCACGGTCCCATGCCATCTTCACCATTTGCATTGACCAGAAGAAGAAAAGTGACAAGTAAGTGTGATCGCACAGCCAGTCCTAGCAGTTGTTGGGGGTCAGACTTACTTAGCATTTCACAGTCCTGTCATTCTTTCCTGGTCTTGGATGAACTCAGCTGAGCTTGAGGCAGTTCCTTTACTTGGCTGTCTCTGATATGAAGAATGGTTTTCAGCCTGGTAGCTCAACTACAGTAACCACTGGACTGCTTTCCTAACTGCATGTTTACTTGAGAGAGTAAAATAGTTTTTTTCTGCCGTAGGAACAGCAGTTTTCGCTCCAAGCTGCACCTGGTTGATCTTGCTGGCTCCGAGAGACAAAAGAAGACCAAGGCTGAGGGAGACAGACTAAAAGAAGGTGTGTAGGAAAATGACTGGTATAGCTTGGGTTTCTTAACGCTTCTGAGTTCATAAAAAAGCAAAGCAATTCTTTTAATTAACACTTTTAATGTGCTTTTTTTAAACCTTTTTGATTATTTTTTTTTCCTTTTTAATAAGGACAGGAAATGAACAGTTCCCAGTTACTGAGACATCTCTGCTCACTGTCATCTATTTGTCTGCAGGTATCAACATAAACAGAGGTCTTCTCTGCCTGGGGAATGTAATTAGTGCCCTTGGTGATGAAAATAAAAAGGGGGGTTTTGTCCCATACAGAGACTCAAAGTTAACAAGATTGCTGCAAGGTAAGAGACAGATGACGATAAATCTACATATGCACTTTAAATAACAAAGTAGCAAAAAAACCTCAACAGCCATAAAACCCCACAGCTCAAAGCAGTGGCTGCTGTTGACAGGAGGGCTTGCATTTAATGGTTTAGTTCCACTTCTTGCTGAAGCTGGGCCTGTTCTGTACTCTGATTTTTGAGGTTGCAAATATGTTGAGATGGACACAGTTGAGTCCACCTGTTTTGCAGTTCCTATGTGATAGAAGGAAACTAGACAAAGCGCATTTAGTTTTTTGGTGAGGAGAAAAAAGATGAGAAGCTATGTCTGGAAGCAGAGATCTATTATTATACCCTAATTATAGCTACTTACTGGAGAATATTGCAACCAAAATGAAGCTCAGGCTGTCTGTGCCTTCACTGTATGCATTGTGTTTGTTTTGTTTTCTTAGTCTGAGTATCTGGTCCTTATGGTGCTTATTTTTCTGTAGTTGTGATGGGCTTTTAATGCATTTTACCTAAATTAACCTTTAGTATAGTCGTAAGTTTAGTCATGCAATTTACTGGAGTTTTTTTCTTGTAGTTAAATAATTTGGTACAACAAGTTAGGCTTTTCAGTATTTTCCCTGTCTGGAAGTACCTAATAAAAAGAAGCTGGGTTGGGCAGAGGTTATTATGGGACCCTTTTTTTTTTTTTTTTTTTCCTGATCATAAGTTTTAAGTAGCTGATATGTGTTAGTCTAAAACAAAAGGATAAGATGCCATACAGCTGGACAAGTTGAATAAATATATTGTTGGCCAATAATTCTTTAAATCTGAAGGTAGTGTGAATTCTGATGTCCGGATATCCATGGGGATCTTGGGTATTATTGTGTGGGAGAAGGGAGGAAGTAACCTGAAAGAACTATGCCAGAAATAGCACACAGAAATTGCAGTAATTACAGAAATTACTTAACAGGACAACAACGTTACTGGGACTTCTGATGTGAAATAGCTGGGGCTTAGGGATGAGACATAACTTTGGGACTTTGGCTTACAAAATAAGCTGATTGTGCTGTATTTTCCTTCTCAGATTCTCTGGGGGGAAACAGCCACACTCTCATGATTGCCTGTGTAAGCCCAGCGGATTCCAATC